TGTGGCGGCACTCACCGTTCGCACGACAGAGGGTAGGCCCCACTCGGTGCTGAGCAGCCGCTGGCTGTGCAGCTTCCCGGCCGGGTCCACGTGCCTGTGCAGGACGTCGACGCCCACCACGCTGGGGTTCATTGGGTTGGGGTATTTCTGCATTGCTGCCATGGTGACCGTTTCCCAAGGGTGGCTGCCAGCACCAAGCAAAGAGATCCATCACATGAGAGGCACATGGTGCTGACAGCCCACCCTGTCATCCCATACAGTTGACGCAGTCGATCTGTTGGCCCAGGAATCCTTTCAGGAATGTTAGCCACGGGAAGAGTGGGGGGTTGGAGGGCTGGCCTACATTTCTAGCATCTGTATACAGCTCCTGGCTAGAAGGTAAAATCCACTGAAGCCATGTAATGCAACCAGCTGCCACTGAGTTGACTGTGACAATGAGCGCCCCCCTGGGGCGAGGCAGAACGGCTCCTGGGGCTGAGGCTGTGGGTCCCCACTGAGGACCACTATCCAGTGTCTACATCGGTGCTACCTGTTGCTCACCCTCCATGCCCAGGTCTAAGTTTTTTCCCATAATTGCTAAGCCATAAAAGTGTTGATGAGGCTGATTACGGAAGCAGACAGTCTGGCCTTCCTCTGCAGAGCACAACTGGTGGGTTTGGACAGCCGACTTGGAGATCAGCAGCCAACTCCTAACCAGAGAGGCATAGTCAATGCGGAAGTCCCGACACAGTGCTGACTTAAACAACATGACACTAAGAAGGGCCCTCTGAGCCCATTTCTACAATTCCTCTGGTCACAGTGCCCCTGGTTTGTCTCTGAATGGTCCCCGGACACAGGAGCACGTCTTTAGGGCTCCACGAAACCCCCACCCCCACCCTGCAGTCTCCGCGGCACTGATCACCGGAGGAACTTGCACCTGTGCTTTTCTTGAAAAAAGTGCACTTGGGTGATGCAAAATGTGATGTCCTGCTGTCCCGTGGGCACCTCTGTGACAAAGGCACTCTCGGAGAAGGCAGCTTTTCTGAGAGAGCCCCCGGGAACCACAGTGTGCACCAGGGGCACGTGGCCCACGTGGTCCCAAACCGACAACCCAAACCCTTGCGCTCCCACGTGCCCGCATCCAGGGAAAGGAGTGCTACTTTCCACGCTCTCTCGGCCTAGAGCCCCCAGACCGACAAGCACATTGTGTGGTCACCTCCCTGAACCATGCCCCGCCGTGTCCATGCTCTCAATGGCAGCCTGCAGGACGAGCCGCACCGCTTTCAACCCAAGTTCGACACGGAGCTGCTTCCTAGTCTGACCTGTCCCCATCGAGGCACGATGCAGGCCGGCACTCTGATTGTTACCAAGGCAACTATCTAAAATGAGAATCGGGCAAACCTTTCCTGGTCTCCATCCAGCCATATGCCACGGTTAGCTGACTTCCACGCACTCACCTCCTCCCCGGCCCCCTCGAAAGCGGAATCACCGCCTGGCTGCAGGGGGGCTATGCATGAATTAGTTTCCTGCTGGTGGCGTCTCCGTGCCACCCGGAAAGCACCCATGTGGACTTAGCTCGGGCTCAGTCTTCTCCCACAACAGGAGAATGAACGCACAGGTGACTGACGGTCTGCCACCAACGAGCTTTCCCGGCGTCAGGCGAAGATGACCTTGCACTGGACGACACTCAGCCTCGGGGCCACAGCTCCAAAGTGGGGTTGGATGAGCCTGCTGTGACCTGCTGGCCTGCCTGGTTCTTCACCGCTAACTCGGGGTGGGCTCAATGTGGACGCCACTGAAGCAGCACGCCCTGACTGACGGAACAAAACATAGCACGATGCCTGCCACCCGGGAAGCCCTCAGGCTTTTCAAGAGACTCAATGAGTGGGTTCAACTGGGCAGCACCATCTACAGGCCGGGCTTGCCTTCCAGTGCTGGCACATCAACGATGGGGAAGACACCGGGACATGGCGATCGGCTGTTAAAGACTGCCTTCAGCTGAAAAAAGCAAGATGGAACCTGGGCGAGGAGAAGAGGACATCTCAGAGATGCCGTGTGATGTGCCGACAGAGCCTCCTGGTAAGGCCCCCAGGACAAGGATTTGACGTTTGAGAGAGGTCAGTGCTGATGGTCCAGAGGCGGGCGCCATACACGTGTCAGCTGGGACCTGGGCTCAAGCAGCCCGGGACTGGGGAGTTAGGCAGCACAGGGCAGTGCCGCTTCTCCCAGAAGTAGTAATCTCAGAGATCTTTTACCTTAAAGAGACAGGATTAAGAAAGACCGACAAGATGGTGGAGGATGGGAAAGCCAACGCCTAACCCTGCTGAGGGGAAAAGTCGAAGGAGGCACACAAAGAGCAGAGTTAGGGAGGGGGCTAACCAAAGAAGAGGGTTAGGGGCGATGATGGAAGGGTGTTCCAGGGAAACACAGTGTCAAGAACTTCTGAAGAACTTTAAGTGGGAATAGTATTGAAGAGACTGTCCAGGGCTCTAGGTGCTGGTGTTGGGTAGATAGAGAACGTCAAAAGACAACATCAGACCCCCCCTCAGTAAGATGACAGATTTTAGGGCGAAAAGTTCCTCATGATCTAAATAGATAGAGAACGTCAAAAGACAACATCAGACCCCCCCTCAGTAAGATGACAGATTTTAGGGTGAAAAGTTCCTCATGATCTAAATAGATAGAGAACGTCAAAAGACAACATCAGACCCCCCCTCAGTAAGATGATAGATTTTAGGGTGAAAAGTTCCTCATGATCTAAATATTCTGTACTTTCCGGACAGCGTGGACCCTTAGATTGTGTCAGATTCACTGAGTATGTAAACACGTTTCAATGTCTTTTATTATTACTTTTCCTTTAAAAAATCATTTTATAGGAGGCTCTTACTGTTCTTGTAACATTCCATGCATCAATCGTATCAAGCATATTTGTACATACGTTGTCAATGTCTTTTAAAGTTGCTCTTAGGCACACTTTCTAAATGCCACATAAACTATAACACGAAAACACCAGTATTAAAACAGTGTGGCAAGGAGGGTGACATCAGTGGAACAGAGGAGATAGCTCAGAAAATGATTCCGATCAGAGCCGCAACAGGTGTTTAGGACAGAGGGGCAGCGCAAGTCTGCTAGAAGGCCGACTGGGAACACGGGGCTGGGCGGGGCTGGGAATACATCGCGTGTGTGGCTCTTGGGCAGGCATCACGGAACTGGAAGGGGCTTTCCTTCGAATGGTCCACCTGCGCTAAGGCCTATTTGTTATGAAAACTTTCACACAACCCAAAAGGTGTGACTGGCCGCGGCCCCTCAGCACCCTGCTGGCACCCACCCCTCGTCTGGCCGTGGCAGTGAGTAGTGTGGGTGCCACCGCTTGTTGGAAGGAGCCAGCTAAACTTTGGATACTGATTCCGCAGCTGGCTCCCAAGTCGTCCATCGAGCCACGGCCAGGGCTGGCATCCTGGCGGCCCGAGCTCACCCCAAATCCATTCTCGGGGAGGTAAGTGGCCCCTCTACCCCAAGGGCGGCTGGCCAGCTGCCCCCTGGGGCTTCCTTCCAGCGCCGTTGCCAAAGTCCGGAAGTTGCTCCCGAAATGAGCGCCGTCCACCCACGTGCTCTGCGACGCCCGGGGTCCTCCCGCCGGAAGTGGACACCACCTGTCCCATTGCGCCCCAGGCGGGTCTGTGGGCCCTTGGTCTCCGCCAGTAGGGCCACCCACGGTGCGCGGGGCGGCATGGGCCCCCGGGGTCGTGACCTTGACGCCCCCTCCCCCCTGAACCCTGCGGGGCCTAGGCTTGGCTGCCCTTTCCCGAGGCCCGACTCCGGGAGGGCACTGCCCCCTCGCCCCGACCGCAGGCCCGCGCCTGTGCCCTCAGCCCGCGAACTCACTCGAAGACGTGCTCGGAGGTCCAGATCTTCATGGTGCCGGCGGCCCGCGCGACGTCCGGGCGGCGCCGGGGCACAGGAGGCCAAGAGGGAAAACTTGCCCCCGCCCCGCCCCCAGCCGCCCGGCCGGCT